AAACGTCCCAATATAAACCGGTAACAGAAATGAACCAAATCCGCAAATCTGCAAATCCTAAAATTTATAAAATAAAATAAATGAAGGCGGGACATTTCATACAAAGTATATATCTCCCAATTGATACGATATTCCCGGGCTTGTGTTTCCTATCATGATTTCCTTGATAGAGGATTGCTGCTCACAAGGAAGCTATTAAACCAAGAGTTCCAAATGGTGAAGTTGAAATCATCCCTTCGTAAATTGTACGGACGCCATCACAAGTTGGTTGACCGTTATGGAATAACCGTTCCACAGATGATATCGGATATGTTCCTTATGTTGTAACTACAATACCCTTCCCTTTTCACGAATGTGACTTACCGAATTAGACTATTTACCGGATTTGTAATAACATAAGCAACACGACATGTGGAGCAGGATCTGCTTATCCTTCCGGAGCACCTGAAATCACCCCCAGTTTTTGGTGGGGTTCGTGTTGCTTAGTCTTTAGTTTTCTATGTTGTGTCATCTGTACTATTATTTGTCTGTTTGTCTTTTTATTTTTGGCCATGGCGTTGTCAGCTTGTTTTCGATCTTTGAGTTTGACTGTCCCTCTGGTATCTTTCGTCCCTCTTTCAGATGGGTGGGTGGTATGAAAATCTATCAATTAATTTGAATTGGCCTTAGCTGTATACAGAGGCATATTTAGAGGGAGCACCCCGGCCCCTTTTTTGTGGGAAAACTTTCGTTGCTTATATAGGGTAGTACTGGAGCAGGCTTGCATTTTTTTAATTGTAATCTCGGTCCTGCCTTTTTATTTTTCACTTTATTTGGTCCTGCCTTTATTTTAAAAGTTTATCCAGGTTTTTTTGCCCAGTTGCTCATCCTGCCGTTTTTTTTACTTGAAACTCCTGTCCTGCCATTTTTTTTACTCAAAAGTACTGTCCTGCCTTTTTTTTTTAAATTTCATCCTAGCTCCCCCCCCCCCCCCCCCCCCCATAAAAATCAAATGGTAGTTCCCAAAGTCATCATGATCAGAAACCAGATATAAAAATCTAAAATATGTAAAGATGTGTCCGAGGACACAATGCCCCCGCTCAAGCTTTACAATCTTCCAAGTTATAAAAGGTCATATCTCTCAAACGGTAAATGACTCTCTGCCCAAATTCAAACTTTGTCTGCATGTTTTGGTTCTAAGCATAATGTTTTTTTTTTTTTTAAATTTAGATAAGCCAAATGAGTTTGAGTGCAGAAACGAGAGAAAAATTGGACCTTCCATGTAAGTGTTAAAGGGGCATAACTCTAAAACGGCAAATTACTCACTGTTAATATAAGAAATCTGTCAGTGTACTGTTTTGTTTCAAAGCATTGTGTATAAATTTCATAAAATTTGGATCCGCCAAAATAAAGTGCAGAAATGAAAAAAAATGCAATTTTCCAAGTTATAAAGGGGCATAACTCTAGAATGGTAAATAAGTCACTACCAATATCCTCCCTGTCTGCATGTTGTGATTTTTAGCATTGTGTATGAGTTTCATAACAAACTTAAGTAAAATTGCGGAAATGAAAAAAAGAGTAACACTTAATGGCCCATTCGCCTTGCAGCAGGGGCATAAACACGGAAAAGGGTGGTAAATGGTTATTTTGATGCAACGCATTAAGCTATTTTCATTTCACTACTTCTGTGAAAAAAACTGATTATGTACCATGTTTTGTGAAATTGTTAAAAAAAAAAAGCAACGTGCAAGTAAATTTTATTTTTAGTTCATCATGAAATGACAATAATATTTCAATTTCTTCCATGCACATGATGATGTCATCACACACACACCCTTTTGCGACCCTCATTGATGCAAACTACATTGTACATGCTACCATCAACCAAAAGCTAATATAAACATGGTTTTTCCTTAGGATAAAATTTGTGTGCTTGATAAAGAACAGTTAAATAAAACCAAATATGAACTACAGCAAACCAAGGACCACGTAGTTATAAGCTGACTTGGAATATTCACTTCAAATGAATACTGCATTACTGGGAGGTCAACTATTTGTTGGCACGGTGCCACCCAACCCTCTCCTATAATAACCTGGGACAGTAATATAATACAGCTTTATGAGCATGATGAGAGAAAACTTCATAAGTCTGGTGATAAAAAGCTTTACAACAGAATGTTAATTTCTTAATCAAAACTGTGCTTAAACCCTAACTAATTTACTTTAGTACAAAATGTAGCTTAATTTGAACAAAAGCATTATTTTTTTTGTAACTGATGCCCTACTCGCACTATCTTTTTTTTATGTTCAGTGGACCGGGAAATTGGGGTCAAAAACTCTAATTTGGCATTAAAATTAGAAATATCATATCATAGGGAACATGTGTACTAAGTTTCAAGTTGATTGGACTTCAACTTCATCAAAAACTACCTTGACCAAAAACTTTAACCCAACACATGACAGACAGACGGACGAACTGATGCACAGACCAGAAAACATAATGCCCCTCTACTATTGTATATTTTTGTACATGTAGCTGGGGAATAAAAATTTGCACAGCATGTTTTTTTTTTATAACTCAATCAGGTCATTTTTATATTTCAAAACATGAAAATTCAGCTACCTCTTGCAAAGGCTATTTTTTTAAGAACTAGCTACAGTACTTGCAGAACTAACAATAAGAAATAACTACGTGTATTGTTACTTCCAGGACTAATTGCCAAATTGTGTTTCTGGACAAGTTGATTCAGGGGCAGATCCAGCCATTTTCAAAAGGGGGGTCCAGGGGCAGATCCAGCCATTTTCAAAAGGGGGGTTCTCAACCCAGGGTAAAGGGGGGTCCAAATATACATTCCAATACAAATGAATTGCTTGTCCAGAAAGGGGGTGGGTGGGGGCACCCCTGGATCCACCACTGGGGTCCAACCCAGGAGAAACCGCAGGGAGAGAGGGGGGTTTAAAATATGTCCCCATTCAAATAACTTGATCGTAAAACCAAGGCCAGGGGTTCCGACAGCCCGTTCTTCCCATCTTTACACTGCACAGACATAAATCCATTGTGTCAATAATTATAGTCCTATAAATCCCTAGTTATGTGTATTTCATATAATCAGTATTATTATAATTTTGTTTATTACTATACAAAAAAATGCTTCTATCTGACAGTCTGAAGCAAAATATTTACATCCAACATGTACATGATTTTGACCAATCCCACCAATCTATATAATCATTTAATTAGTTATACTAAAACAAAGCTTTCCTCTTGTCAACTGGTAATTATTTTAAATCAGTTTAACAACAAAACCACATACAATTTTAATCAGGGTATAGCAATATCTCGGGTCGCAGAGTGCTACACGTGTCCAAATCAAAACAATAACAAGTATTTACATCGCTTCATTTTCAGTTTCATTTTACAAAGTTCGTTTTATGTGTTTAAATCAAATTGCGTACAAGGCATCAAGAGTTGTCTCCCTAATAATTATCTTTTAACAAGGTAAAAGAAAAATTACTTATTCTAGTTATTTTTACCAGACCCCACCTGCTTTCCAAGTAAAAGCGTCGACACTGCTCCTACGTGCGTCGACGTATAAATTACAGAAATAGACATATGAAATGTTAATAAAACCTGGAAAAATATAAACAACATCAATAAAATTTCATAAAATAAGAGAATTTCTGTCAAAAAATGGACGAAAACGCATTTTAACAACAACAAAAACTCACATATTTTCGATTTGCTCTTGTCTTGATGAATCCCAGTGATCTTAAAAACGCGGGAAATGACGAATGAATCACGCGAGACTAGGAACTGGTAAAAAAACCGCGGTAAATTCGAATGGGAATAAGAAAGAGCTTGATCTTTTAGTAAAATACAGATCTGACAAAAATAACGCGAATACGTCATAAAAATTGTTACTTGTTTAAGTAATGCCCCTGACTGACAATAGCTTGGCCTAGAAAAGGGGTCAACTAAGCCACCAGGAAAGATGCAATAAAATAAGTCTTTTCTACCCCACAAAGGCCAAGCACTTGGCAAAAAATAAAGCTTTGAGCTTAATGCCTGATCATAATTAGTTCCAATTGAACCGTACAAGTATAAATACAATACCGGCCCAAGCAAGTACTGTTATGTTAACAGACAAAGTCCTTGTAAGCAAATAATGACAATAAAAACTTCCACAACAATCTATCGTGCATAACTAAATAGATATTAGAGCCACAAACAAACATCTATATATTAATGTTAATGTATGCATTATAGTTTAGTATGTATAAATATAGCATGCAATTGGCATTGAAAACTTAACGGCCCAAGCAGTTAAGTATTGTTAAAATAACATAGCTTCATGCGTTGAAACCTTTTATCTTTTATAATTGCTATTGCATAAAATGATATGTTTATTATATGATGACACACTAACTGGAGATTTACCAAAAATAAAATTCGTATTGAGTGCCAATTACCAGCCCAAGCAAGTAATGCAGAGATGCTGAAAAATTTGTATATATTCCTATAAAAATAATTGTACCGGCCCAAGCAGGTACCAAAAATGCCTATCAATTTAAATGGGATCTTATGTATTTTTGAAATGCATTAGACTTCCAACGTCCCATTGAGCGTATTTGTGAATCGGATAAGCCTCTCTTGGCAGCATCAGTTGCTCCTCCTATGCGGAAACTGTGTCTTTTGTATCTCGAACTATCCAGACCACAAGATGCTAGGCATTTATGTAAAATTCTGTCAAAGTCTGGACGATTTAATGGAGTGGCATCAACAGAACAAAACAATGGTTCTGTGGGTACGGAATAGGATCTTACTTTAAGGTACTCAACCATAGCTACGACTGCTGATTCCATTGCGGTACCATGTGAGAACGAAATAGTCTTTGGCATTCCTCTAACGTTATGTTTAAATTTTCGGAAGCAAACCTGAACTTCTGCAGCCATGCCCTGTACATAAGACATTGAAACATCGTGCAAAAGCAGAACATTATCATTTGGGGCATTTTTTGTTGTCACCAACTCTCCAACTCTAGAGAAAGTTGAAAAAGCAAATAAGAAAATTGCCTTGAACAAAACTTGATCATATGTACACCTGACAACTAATGTTATACTATGTAACAACTTGTTTAAAATAGGAATTGTAATTTGGAGACGGCTATCAAATGTTTTTGATAATCTATAAGTGCTTGTAACTAATTGTTCAACTAAAAACGACCGAGTGTTGTCAGCCATTGACATCATTTTGTGCACATAGGCTATGGCGGATAGATATGTTGAAATTGTACTAGGAGCATATAATTTTTTAAACATTTAGGCAATGAATAATGAAATTGTAGCTACAGATATTGGTGGCTGCAGACTTTGGTTCATTATTTCTGTACAGAAAGAGTCAAAAGTTTTCCATGCGCGGCTGTAAGTAGCTTGGGTTGATGGAGCTATAGCTGCATTTGCAAAGATTGTAACGTACTCCAAAAGTTCTGTGGCTGGAACTGATGTGGAACTAAGCACGGTTTGGGTTGAGCAGCTGGGGCTATTTTCAAAAACTGTTCTACCTGTTCAAGAGAAAGGCATTCCGCAAAAATATTCTTCTTTCCGGGTATATGCTTTGCTTTAAATAATATGTTAAATTGCAAACATCTTAAAACCATGTATCTAACCATTTTCATTGCTTGACCATCAGATGTTGACTGTTTATTAATCACAGAAACCAGTGCTTCATTGTCAGTGAATAATAGTATACAGTGATTTCTCCACAATGGCCCCAATAACTCAATTGCTAAGATGATAGGGTAAACCTCCAAGGTAATTATATTGATGTTTTTCCAGTTTTCTGGGAATGGACCATAAAACCATTTTGACCTGTATATGCCTGCATAGCCTTTAGATTGTGCAGCGTCAGTGTGAAGTTCCAATGTATAAGTTGACATGAAACTTTTATTTAAAAACATTGATTTCCCATTAAAAGAATCTAAAAACTGAAGCCATATCTGAAATGTGTAACTGTGGTTTTTCCTCTACATGATAAAATTAAACTGAAATATCTAGAAAAGTGAGTTTCTTTTGTATATTTCGAGAGTGCATATTAAATTGACTTAAGGTCAAAATTTCAGTGAAACATCTGTTTTGTATGACCTAATATTATGAATAAAAGTTTGTGTGTGTGGTAAAAACTACTAAGAAAGCAACTCAAGAATACATATGAAAAAAAGTACAAGATTACAGATGTATGTTCGCGTTATGAACGCTGCTAACATTATCTTTTTAAAGCTAAATGCTAGGAACAATCGGTTATAAGTTATTTATAAAAATATCATAAATTTTCATTAAAAGCTAATAAATTTTAAATAACATTACAGACAAGCAACAGCTTTTTCAATTTGTTTTTATAATTAAACTCATGCAATGTTCGGTTAATTTTGTATATCAAAATTACGCTTCTCAGTTCGGTGAGTGTTGTATATCGAAACTTCATTCAGTTTGATTGATGTTGTGAATCTAAACTTCACTCAGTTTGATTGATGTTGTATATCTAAACTTCTCTCAGTTTGTTTGATGATGTATATCTAAACTCCATACAGTTGTTTGATGTTTTATATCCAAACTCGATACAGTTTGGTTGATGTTGTATGTTTAAACTTCACTCAGTTTGATTGATGTTGTATATCTGTACTCCATACAGTTTGTTTTATATTGTATATCTTAACTCCATACAGTTTGGTTGATGTTGTATGTTTAAACTTCACTCAGTTTTATTGATGTTGTATAACTAAATAAAGGCAACAGTAGTATACCGCTGTTCGAAACTCATAAATCGATAGAGATAAAAACAAATCCGGGTTACAAACTAAAACATACAGTTTGTTTGATGTTGTATATTTAAACTCCATACAGTTTGGTTGATGTTGTATATTTAAACTCCATACAGTTTGGTTGATGTTGTATATCTAAACTTCACTCAGTTTGGTTAATGTTGTGTACCTTAACTCCACACAACTTGGAGGATGATGTATATCTAAGCTCTACATGGTTCGGTGTATGTTGTATATCTAAATTCCACTCAGTTCGGTGGATGTTGTTTGTCTGCTTGTTCTTGAATTGCTGCTTTCGCTTATAGACGTTCTAGTCTGCTTATAGAAATTTAATACACGTCTGTTACAGACAAACGAAATAAATATGAACACACCCTGTAAAGCGTTCAAAAAGGAAACAATTGTTGAAAAGGCTGAAAAGGGTATGAAAGAATCGATAATTTGAAAAATCCAAGAGATTCCAGTTATAGAAAATAATTTCACATACACGCTAAATTGAATCTGATTTAAATTCATTTGTGAATCGTTTTTCAATTTTGGTCGTCTTGCTATTTTTAAAGCAGTCACAATAAAGAAGAAAATATTTGAACAGCAAACAAGACTTATTGGAATTATGAATGTAACAACGAATGCGATTCGTCGATTCAAAAAACAAACGTGACCGCCGTATCCAATCGATGTTACGCTTGATAAACTGCTAGTTATCACAATATTCAATACTACAATTATTACCGGTATCCCATAAGAATATAATATATAAACTGCCAGCCTAAATGTTTCGGAAATATGAATACTGGTTTTGCTTGTAAAAACGTAGTACATATGGAAAGAACACACACTGAGACAACCAAACGTTACCAACCAAAAATAATGTATCAAAACACCGATAACTTTACATCCGATGTCAGATTTTGTACCAAATTCTACAAACTGAAAAATGAACTGCGCACAGAACATTGCAGACACTAAACACACATTATTTTTTCCTGGAAGTGTTCTCAAACTCGGAAAAAAACAATAAGTCAAAAACGTTAAAACTAAACACAAAAGTGATATGCATGTCAAAATCAATGCTACTGTGTTCCATACAACTACAGAATTGAAAGAATCTGTTCTTGTATTCAAAGTCTGTAAACGGTTTGCGCATATTCTTGCTTTTCGAGGTGACGTCAGAATATACTCATCGTGCTCAATGTTAGCATTTTCTGAAAGTATAGTTAATTGTAAGTTTTTCAAATTTATACTGAATTCATTTTCGTTCAACTCGATTTGGTCACAAATCAAAAGTTGATTCACGTGTGAATGAACGTATAAATGTCCAGTGTATGAACGAGATGTTTCATTGATACAATAACATTTATCAGTGAATTGCATTCTTGAAACTAAAGTAGGTAGATGAAAAGCATTTCCATCATGATCAATAAAAAATGGTTGCTCAAAATCATCATGGGTAACATTGAATGTTGAGCCTAGCAAAGCAACCAGTTTTTCCTCCGTCCTTGAACGGTTAACAGAATCCGTTATAAATAATTTGTGATAAACCAATATCGAAACCTCATGTCCTTTGTATAATTTGTTAAGCTGATTGCGTGGACAGTACAAATTAGACAGAATCATGGAAGTTTCAAAATCAATGTACGACAGCCTCAAATATTTCCTTATATATTCTTTGAAAGATTCATCAACTGACTCCAAGAAAGGCATTGTATCATTCACATTAATCAACAAACTAGCTCTTAGTCTTTCATATAAAATGTATCCCAGGTTTGTTGTTGTTTGGATAAGAGGAGTACATCGTGTATCAACAAGCATTCTTCCAGGATAACAACGTACATCACGACATTCATTCTGAAATAAAGAGTAATGTAAGACAATGATTATACATAGGTTTAACTCAGTATGGATTCGCATGACAGGTGATGCATACAAAGCAGGAGACGCTTATCCTATCGACGCACCTTGTAGAGCTCATTTTTGGAGTGCATGCGATTTGTATCTTCTAAATCGATTTATGAAATGTAAACATCGGTTAAATATTGTTGTCTAAATTAACCTAGCAACATTTCGCAACATGTTCTTGTGCCTGTTCAGAGTCATTAACGTTGTTAATGGTTGTCTTCATGTATATATCTTAATGTTTGTTTTCCTTTCGGAAAATTGGATACATAAACATTTTCGTGGTAGGTACCGAACGAATTTACAACGATTAATCTTATTTCTTATTCTGTTTTCGCTGGGTTCATGTAGACTTCTCATATTTATACTACCTATCGAGATTACTTTGAATTTTAACATGCAATCTTCAATTTTCTTTAGGGCTAATATAGACCAAACCTTCATCATATCTGTTTATAAATGAAAAAAAATAATTTTAGATTTTCAAACTTCGAAGAAGTAGGGTAAATGTTCTCTTTAATTTATTTCACTGGCTGTGATTAAATATGAAAATTGATGAAAACTAGCGAATATAAATATTTAAGGTCAAGGAGCAGTAAATGGGCTATGTCACAGATTTTGTTAAAATTTTGCATACAACTTTGGTTCGTTGAACCTCAACTGAAGATCGAAAAAATAATGTTATTGTCTCTTTTATTTTCTGAATTATTTAGTGATTGAATTTTTCAAAATAGGTGAAAATTGATATATAAAGCACATGAAATCGGCAAAAACGTTCTTAAATTTGTCTTTAAATCTCCAATTTCAAATCCAAAGATTTCTTAAAAAATATATGTTGTTGGTACATAAATTTCTGTTTTAATGATGTAAAATATAGTAGGGACACCGACTTCGTTTTAACGGTGTACATCATTCAAAGTGGTGATCTAGGCGAGAAAAAAAATACCACAAAAATACGTCGAAATAATCGTAACGTCATCGCGTAGTAGCCGTAAAATATCGATTTTTTTGTTACGTTTTTCACTACCAATTAAGTGACAGATTGGTTAATACACCAAAAACGAAGTCACTTACCATATGATTATTTTATATTATTAAAACGGAAGAATATGTAAATATTCGCTTGACTGGAAGTTTATGAGCGATGAATATGAAAATAGTATACTTATATGAAGCCTGAAACCAAATGTCAGAACGCCGTGATTTGTAATTTCTGGGAGAAATGCGACGAAAATATCAAGGAACGGAGGGACGGATGGACACAAGGACGAACAGACAGAAGTGTCCCATTATACAACCTTCTTAGCAATAATTATACTTCATGATATCATTTGTAGTATTGGAAGCGATATTGAAAAGTAATAACACAAATTTGTTAATTGTTTTGGCCTATCCTCCAATTTTACAACAAATTACGATATTTACATTGGCTGCTTTGTATCATTTTGTTAAGTTCTCCTAATGAATGTTTCATTTTCAACCGGTCACGTGTAACAATAAAATAGGTCACTTAAAGCAAATGTTTACCATGTGAGAAATTTTATATGAAAAATATATTTCAATACGTAAAAGAATATATGTGCCACACAAGAATAGAAACATAATGAGTGACTTTTTATTTCAGAAATAACCTTTATTGACACGCACGAGACCAAATGTTTGGGATAAAAAGCCGGTTTATTGATAAATTAAGCATTTACATCTGTACTATTAAATATAGAATATGATGATTTTAGACTTGTATGCATTATTTTTTATATGTTTATAATAGTCCAATAACAATTTAACCTATACCTGTATTTTGTTTTTCAATTCTTAATAGTAGACGAATAACATAGACATCTTTTCACATCTATCCTGATTAACGCCGTATTCAACATCTAGGTAACTTTTGAAATGTCACATTGAATAGGTAAAAAGCTACACATTTACGTAATAAAAATCAGGTACAATGATACTTACAAGATATACAATCTGACTTGAGTTACATCTAGGTGTCTCTGTGTTGTGTTTTGATGATTGTTTGTTGTTAGAAAATTCAAATATGACTCTATATGATGGTGGTTTGAAGGCATCGTCCTTCTCAGGAAACAAATCTTCACCAGAGCCTGCCGAACCCGACTGGCCACCTTGTGTGTATAATTCATTACATATTTTACAAAACTTGTTTTTGTATGGTGCTAGGTAATCAATTCTTGGCATACTTAAACAGTATTTTTCTGTTTTTTTGTCATAGTTGTGCCAAAAACCAGTCACGTTGCATTTAGAATATTCTACTGTTTGATTGTGTTTCGGATTACATATGGAACAAAAGGCACTCTGTTTTGAACTGTCCAAATTCATCGGCATGGTTATATTTTACAGGCAAATTTTATATCCACATCCCGATGCATCCAGTGCCCGGTAGTATTGCATTGTTTGTATTCTTTTTCTTCACATTTTACGTAATTGGTATATTCGGACGGTTTGTACTTTGTATCACATCCGTTATCTCGTACAAACCGGAAATATTCTTCAAATGACAGGAAGAAAAATGGCGGCAAGTACATATTACAGCGTACGGTTAGGTCCCAAAATTTTAGGGAAGCAGAACCTGTATTTTTTAAAGTGGATTGCCCAATTCCGTCACTACATAAAGCACAGTATACGTTTTTATAGTGAGTGGAATCATCAGCAATTTGTATTTCTACTGGTTGAAAAGTAAAGAATTTTTCAATGTCATTAATTCTACACAATTTTTCCGTAAGAGCATTCATGGATTTATTGCATGTATCAAAAACTACATACCCATTCTTAACGTAAGAATACTGTGGATCAGTACATGAAGTAGATTTTTTAAACAACTTGTCTATGCAACATCCGTTTTTAAAATAGCAACTATCGCTGCAGTCGCAATATGGCATCATAGGGAACATTGAATAGTTTTGACAAAACAAAGGGGTCCCAGTGGATGCAAAGTACTGTACCATTATATGAGTTCTGTTCAAATTGTGCAAGTCTTTAGTTTTAGTTACATCTAGTTTGTTCGTTGCTATGATGTTTGTATCTTTTACATACTTTGCTCCACTCTCAAAAATCGACTCAAGGTTGAAATCGATGGTTTTAAACTGAAGCACGAATTCTCTTTGATTTTCTATACTTTCCTCAACAGAAAATTCTAATTCGTTGAAATGCACGTTATCTGTTTTATTCTTGTTATTTGAATTGCAGTAAAAGCAGTAAATATTTTTGAACGGTGTTGTCAATGGAGACTGTATATTATTTAAGCATGCCTTTTCTAAATCAGTACTGAAAACGTCCCATAGACCCGTTGTATTGCATTTCGAAATAACACCACCGATTTCATTTGGCGGGTTACAGAGATGACAAAATACATTTTTGAAGGAATGAAATCTATTGTCATACATTTGGCATGCAAAGTCTATACTGGCATCAAATGTTATCCATGTTCCAGAAACGTTGCATTTACTTATCAAACCATCATCTAACAAATAGTTATCATCGCATGTGTTAATATGAAGTCCTTTAACTCCTGAGCTTGAATAGAAAATATCACATTTTTTCTCTATTGCATAGTCGATTATTTCGGAATAGGTAGATAGAAAATTGAAATCTGCAAATTCTGCACATTCAATTTCAATTTTCCATGGGATAATATCTCCCATTGATTCATTATGGCATACTGAACAATGAACATTTCTGTAAGAAAGTCCGCTTCTGGATGAATAAACAGGAATGTTTTGAAGTTTTTGTAGGAGGCTGGTTGATATTTCGCATTTCTTTTTTGTGACATTATCCGAGGACACAGGACAATGACTGATCATCGATACTGCTCTTTTGTCGTTATGAAAATGGTTAAAGTTCATGAAACTTGTTTCTATACATGATTGGGAAAAACGAAAATAGAGATCGGGACAGCAGTTCCTAGAAATTATACATGTATTCTCACAGATGCATTCTGGACAATAGTCTGGTATTGTTGTGTTCATCGAATCTAAAATTTGCAGTTTACAAAGTCTATTTCCACAACTTGCTTTGTATGCATCCATAACATTAGAAAGTTCCATACAATATATCGAGAGAAAAAAATACGTTGATATCAACAGTAATTTTGTCGTTTTGTTACAACTATTCATTTTAAATCTGAAAAATAGAAATAATATGTCGTATACTAGATACAAAAGGTAAAAGATACAATGGGGCTATCAAGAAAGACGAAAAACAGAAAACAACATGGTCAAAAAGAACAAACGACTACAAGACAATCATGATCAATTCCTCAAAAGAATACAAAAAACCTAAAAATTCGAAACACGCGTTACGACACCAACAAATTTAGTGACAGCATATTGCTTTATGTTTTAGCTGGTATATGTTGAAGGCCGTACTTAGACCTATAATTGTTTACTTCTTACACATTATGACTTGGATGGAGAGTTGTCTCATTGGCACTCATACCACATCTTCTTATTTCTATATAATATCATTTGGCAAATGATCATATAGAGCGAAAGATTTTTCGTTAGCGAAAACAATATACTTGTATATTCTGAGGACTGTGACATTTAATGTTTAGATGAAATCATTGTTACCATGTTGTCACAAGAGACCTTAACTCTACCAAAGACCAACAGGTTATGAATCTTTTAAAGAAGGGACGAAAATATTGCCTACATTGTAAAATTAAGTGGAGGGAATGAAGTAAAGTCATCAATGACTCCTTTTCCTCTCACTGTAGACTTTGGTGCAAAAGCTGATAAGAATTATAAGATTTTTCTTATTAAAGAATGTATGAATCTTGTTGATTTTGTGAAAGTAACTTTATACACAGTCGTTCTATACTTCAACGATATTGAAACAAGGTTCCTGACTTGGGACAGGTACATGAATGTAATACAGTTTTAAAGTACGTTTTTATCGTTTAAAAAATAAATACATAATTATACGTAAAAGAGGAAACTTGGTTTGTGTGTCGTTTTGCTAATTATATCAAATTAGATTAATCATTGTGTCTACTTTGTTAGTATCACTTTTCTTTATTTAATTTGGATTATTGGGGAAAAGTTAGGAAATGATTTCCGAATGTTCTCCCGGCTGTTTTTTTAAAAGTTATGATGAATAGCTAAAATTTAGTACATGATTTTTGTTTTAATCAATATGATCTGAATTAAAGGTCAAGGTAACTGCTGCGTGTTGTAAATTTATATGATAATAAATAAAGAAATGTGTCATTGCCAATGGTTGCCTCTTTACAGATTATTGACATGTTGTAGTAGCCAGCCTAAATAAATCAACATAACTATTTAGACAGTCATGAATTCCTTGATAGAGGGTTGCTGCTCGCAAGGAAGCTATAAAACAAAGAGTTCCATGTGGTGAAGTTGAAATCATTCCTTCGTAAATTTTACGGAGGCCATCACGAGTTGGTTGGGTGACTTTTATGGAATATCCAATAACAGATGATAGCGGATATGTTCCAAATGTCGTAACAACAATCCCGCCCTTTTCCCCGAATGTGACCTACCGATTTAGACTTATTACCGGGTTTGTACTGACATGTGGAGCAAGATCTGCTTACCCTTCCGGAGCACCTGATACCCCCCCCCCCCAGTTTTTGTTGGGGTTCGTGTTGCTCGGCCTTTAGTTTTCTATGTTGTGTTTTGTGTACTATCGTTTGTCTGTTGGTCTTTTTCTTTTTTAGCCATGGCGTTGTCAGTTTGTTTTCGACTTGTGCGTTTGAATGTCCCTATTCAAATTTTAAGATATTGTCCTTGCAACTTAACCCCCAAGGGTGACTGGGGAATAGAAGTATGGTCACCATTGGTCTTCCTCCGACCGGCAGTAAAACCCTTGCTAAAGTGGGGCTGTGCGGGATGTACAAATTTTCAGCCACGTCCGGTCAGAATGGGGACGTTAAATCCGATGTCTCATGTAAAGGGAGTGCCACGCTCTTTGCACGTTAAGAATCCTTGCAACAACTCTTTGAGGGGTCCGTAGGTGACCTGTTGCAAGGCTTAATTTCTGTCCCTATCCAATATACCCTAATTTCTCGTGGCAGTCAAACTTTCTCCGACCTTAATCCCGGACGCCCCTATTACAGAACCTACCTCTTGTATTTATTGTTAATTTGTTCTCGTCCTGAATATGCATGAAATATTTGCCACTGGACGTTAAGCAACCAACAATCAATCAATCAATCAATCCTCGCAACTTACAGATAAAAATACTATACTAGCTATTGAGCCACTTTCCATATTTCATCATACAAGTACATGCTATACTTGAGGGTGTAGATGGGGTTAAAAAAATAGAGAATAATTGGCAAAAAATTAAAGAATAGATTTTAATGGTGTGCGAAATGAAAAAAATAGATTTTAATAGTATGCGAAATAAAAGAATAGACGTTTATATAGCAGGATGTTTGCGCTTTTTTATTTTTAACTCAACAGGACACTTGTGTTCAAAGACATTTGCGCGTTAACATTTGATACACCTAAACCACATTTACCGCACATTTGCGCTTTTTACCTATATAAGTTTACATGTAATCCTAACCAGAAGTCAATGGATTGCAAATACGGAAATACATTCCTCGTATGTTCATTCTATAGTCTTGGAAGTCCGAGGAACTCTTCCATAGTTTCTCTGAGATGGTTTTAATTTGTGGAAACCGAAATTAAATTTTTTAACCACCTGCTGTTCGTGTTGACTTTGAAGAAAGATTCATGGCTGTTAGAAGGAAAATATTTAGTAATTCGGACTTTCTACGTGTCGGATGTGAAATTTTATTAGCATGTATCTCTAATAAAAAAGAAGTAATCATATATCTTTGTGAATACTCAAAATTTTTTTGGCAAGTAGTGATATCAGAATGGTTATACATTACACAGTAGATTATTTTTATTTCACAAAATAAACTTATCAGAGTCACTTGATTTTTTTCAAATAAACGATATATCTATTTTTTTTCCCCATTTCACTTACTGAATAATATGTAATTTACAAAATTATCATGGATTTATTGGAATTTATGTTTTCCCTAAAACCGAAAAATCCTTTAAGATGTATGTAAATAAATGAATAGGCTGTATTTTTGTATATTAAATGATTTTTAAACTTTTAACCATGATAATTGAAATGTCATGTTTATAAAGCTCAAATATCTTTTTTTTAAAAAGAGCAAATGTCCTGTAGAAAAAGCGAAAATTACTTTTTTTTTAAAAGCGCATATGACCTTTTTTTTTTTAAGTGCAAATGTTCATTAAAAAAAAGCGCAAATGACCATTTAAAAAAGTGCAAATGTCCTATCAAAAAGCGCAAGCGTCCAGCCCCGGAATAAAGGAGGAACAAAGCGTAGAGAAAAATGGCCGAAAATAAAAGAATGAAGAAATAATGACCGCCTTATCCAGATCATCATAAATGTATGTTAAGTTATGGACGCTGAATGAAATTATCCTTTATAAATATACAAAATGTCTACAGTTAATATACAATAATGCAGTAAACATGGATAAAATGTCTACAGTTAATATACAATAATGCAGTAAACAGTGAGAAAATGTCTACAGTTAATACACAACAACGCAGTAAACATGGAGAAAAGTTTTCTATTGGTATTATTAAAAATAAATGAAAGTTGACTATTCATTTATTAGTGTTTCTTACTTTTATACGTACATAGTATTAAATAGAACAAAAAATTATAATGTAATTGAGTAAACATTCACTTTCTGCGATTAACAAAATAGATGTATAGGGAAAATCTTAAAAATAGCTTTGTCATAAGTTTGGGAAAACACGATGTCATTGGCTTTGAACTAACTTTAGTAACTGTGAGTACGATCAGATCTGTACTTATATATGTATCTTAAATTGTTATGGTAGTTGTTTTTTATTGCTGTTACATTTTTTTTTTTTTGGCGACTTGGCAAACTGATACGCTTTTAAATTGTAAATGATGCAATAGAAATAAATTTTGATATTATGTCGACTAAATATAAATTGTGGTTGTAAATTTTATTTCGAAAAGTATGTAAGCTGAATAAAGAATAAAAATTATCCAATTAACCCTAATGAAGTTAATAAATAGATATTTTCTTCCTAATACTGCAAATATATAAATGTATGGAAGGACAAAATCAAACGCTTCCATGTGCATGTTCATTATTATTGTACCTTCGATTATGCACTTTTAGACAATCTCCTGATGGAGATTTTTAAGAAAGTATTATATTGCTTTCAGTGCCTGACTTTTTTTAAATACTTTGCACATTATTCTCTGTTACTTGTTTATGAAATGAAAATACCACTTTACAAATATCGTGCGTCCGGTGCGCTTTTCTGGATTTACCTTCAACGGGAACGCTCAAACCTAAACATTTGAAGAGCAGGAATGTACAAATACGTATAAACGTTGGGAGCTATATGACCAAATGAGACATAAAACGAATAACCAAATTCATCTATGTTAAACATTGTATGAGGATTAGAAACCTGATTTTTATTAGTAAATCCTTATCTATAATAACACGAAATTTTAGAAATCAAAATATATTATAAATCATGTCAGTAGCGAAATACCGTTTCGATTCCTAACATCACTGAAGAGATATTAATTGTCGAAATCCGGATATGGTGTACAAATTTTTGTACCTCATGTTTGCGGTATACAATCTTTTCCGCAAGTTTATTGTTTTCTGTTTGGTATTAAATTAATAATTAAGATCCATTTTTACATCTGGTGATACGTTTATTTGGAAATCGCCAATGGCAGTCAACAGGGTTTCAGAACATCAGTTGTTCGACCTGTTAGTCAAATGCGTTT